GGAAGTAAGCATCTGATCTGCAGCTTACAGAGTGCTGCCCAGAGCACTGAGGCTTTAATGACTTGCCATAGGTAGGACTTGAAACCACATCTTCCTATCCACTATTTCATGCTGCCTTTCATTCCTCAATAAGGGGAGTAATGCCTAATAAGGTTGGAAAGCTTCACTAGGGTCAGATGATGAAGACCTTTAAAAGCCAAACCCAGAAATTTCTATCTGATCCTGTAGTCAATAGGGAGCCATCAGAATTTACTGAGTCAGGGGTGTGGGTGACATAGTCCTGTATTTGTATGACAATCACTTTGGCAGTCGTGTGAAGGATAGATGGAAGTGGGGGAGCCATCTGAGGTGGTGAGACCTTTGCAATAGTTCAGGGAGAGGCAATGAGAGCTTAGGTAAAGGCGGGGGCTATATCAACGGAGAAAGGGGAAGGAAGTAAGAGATGTTGAGGAAGAAGTGACATGATCTGCCAAATGGATACGTCAAAATGAGGGATGACAGGGAGCTGAGAAGAATGAGGAAGGCAGCAGTTCTGGTTGATGAGAAGGATGATGGTGCCCTCAACAAAAATAAGGAAGTTCAGAAAAGGCGTGGGGTTGGAAGCAGGGGGAAGATAAGATAATGATATTTGTGGTATAGATTTTCCCCATCCATACCTGCTTATTCTGCGAATTTTATTCCATCTCATGCAAAATGAAAAGGTAGGAGGAGGCATAGGCCTCATACTTACCAGGCATGTCCTGTAGCGTACAGCCTGCTCAAAGGACACCTGCTCTATCAAGAGGTGATCTTGGGGTCAGGGGATGAACATGACATGGGAGGGGAGAGAAGGCATTTTTTAATAGCTACTCTGGTGAAAGGAAGAAATTGGGAGCTCACACAGAGGCACTTGTACAGGAGGGCCTAGCCGTTGTGTTCATGCAGAGGATGGAAAGCAATCCACCTTCCTGTCATCCAGTTGGTTGCTTAGACCTCCACTGGGGCCATGTTCCTTCTGCAGGTTAAGATTTCCACTTTGGAAACCACTGTCCTAGAGTACTGAACGAACTAGTGAATAGAAGTACTGAAGCCCTATCCATGATTTTGGAGACCAGGAACACTCCTTTATGACTTGTCCTACAGTATTAGAAGGTAAAAAACATTCTAACTTCCGAAAAAATAAAAGAGGGTAAAACTTTCAAACTATAAGGCAGTGACTATTGAAGGCTCCTTGAGGGTTAGGATTTTTTTTTTATTGTATCCCCAGAGCCTAGCACTGAATTTTATACATAAGTGCTTGTTGGATTGGATTGGATTCTTGGCAACATTCTAGAAGAGCTAACTGTGGCCTGTAAGCCAAGCCAGCCCACTACCCATTGCCTGCTTCTGTATGGCCTACAGTCTAAGAGCTAACCATCCTTAGCTCCCGGGCTTTACAAAAATGAGGTGGCGGGGCCGGGTCATAGTTTGCCAGCTCCAGCCTAGAACATATTATTAAAGGGATGCTTAACGAAAATCTAAAAAAGAAGTGGTGATTATGGAGCTAGAATGGGTCATGTCAAACTAGCCTCTTTCTTTTTGGAAATGATTCCTAGACTGGTAGATTGGGGAGATACACCAAATATAGTTTACTTAAATTTTAGCAGAGTAGTTGAGAAAATCTCTCATGCTATTCTTGTTGATATTAATTAGGAACTGGTTAAAGGCCAAAAGTGTAGTAACTAGGTTTGATATTAACAACCAAACAGGCCTTCAGGAATGTCTTAGATATTTATCCCTGGCCCCGTGCTGTTTGATTTTATTAATGACTTAGATAAAGGCTTATCAGATTTGTAGGTGACATAATCCTGGGATAACCAATACACTAGAGTTGAGTCAGACTCAAAAAAAATCTTGACAAGTTAGAACGGCAGGCTACATCGGAGAGGAAATGTACGAGATAAATGTAAAATCTTTGGGGGGGTTCAAAAAACCCATTTCCCAAGATGGAAGAGGCATAGCTAATTAGGAGTTCATCTAAAAAAGTTCTTGGGGTCTTAGCAGTATTTACTTGGATTAACAAAATCAACTACAAAAAGTGCCAATTGAGGGAGACCAATGCGGGAATACAATCAACTAATCAACAAGCATTTATTAAGCAAACTCGACAGGAACCAACAATGCAACATAAAAGCAAACTGACAACTTTGGGGCTGCATTAACAGAGATTTATTGTTCAGAGTATGAGGAAGTTAAGAATCCTACCCGAACCAGAACACACTGGGAGCACTGAGTTCAATCACATTTTAGGAAGGACATCAAAACTGGGGAAAAGAGTGGAAACCGTGACATTTAAGAATTGGTGGCGATGGAGAAAACCCCAGAGATGTTTAGCCTGAGGTTTAGGATGGCTGTTGTCATCGAGCACAAGCCTTGGCCAGAATGACAAGCGAAGAGAGGAAGTCCACATTAAAACAAACCAAAAAAAAAAAAAAAAAAAAGCCTATTCCCACTGAGGCGGAAGTCCTGGATTAGCAATCAGAGACCCAGAGCTTGAGTCCCAGCTTGCCTACTTTCTTAAGTAACAAGGTAGTAAGTGACCTGTGTTGAATTTAATTTATTTGGCTATGAAAGGTAACAGTTTGGGTGGTAAGTTTCTTCCTGTGGAAACAGTAAAAAAGTCTTGCCTTGATCATTATTACGATTTTAATTGTGTTCTGGAGTCTACATGTGCATTGTTCAGCAGGCATTAATATTCAAATAAACCTAAAATACTTAATTAGATGAAGGTTACTTCCTGATCTGGACCTCATTTCATTAAATGAAAAAACGAAGGGATTGAATTAATAGTCTCCAAGGTGCCTCCCAGCTCTAAACTCTATAATAAAAATCTATTTTTTTTACCCAGTCTCACTTCCAACTCATTTTAAAATTAATGTATCTGCTAAATCCCATGCTGCAGGATAAGGATTCTATCAATTAATTACTATTACCTACCTCTCTCCATGGTATTTGTACTAGTTATTTCTTTATTTGTCATTATTATTGCTATGTCCTCCTTCTACTAGATTGTAAGTGCCTTGAGGGCAGGAACTATTCATGTCTGTATCATACTGTCTTGCATATATTGAACAGAGATACTTAGGAAAGAGAACAGTTGACTTCATGTTATTTGTTCCTGGTTTTCCCTGTTACTGACGTTGAAAGGCCCTCAAGCCTCCATTTTAATGCCAAGTTTCCTTTTCCAGTAACTTTATGAAAAAAGACAACTTCTAGCCTTTTAAATGAGCTTGTTTCAAGTTACCACATCTGTGCTAAGCAGTAATGAAGGTAGAACAGGCCCATAAAGAAGACAAGAGTGGCTGGGGCCTCAAACAGAGAAAACAGGTGGACAGTGCATGGGGATTTGTACTGGAAAAAAAAATCCAGTAAATTCAAGCTACAGACCCTCTCCTTCCTCCACGTCCCCCCAACTGGCTGGGTAAGAGCACAATCAAATTTGTAGGCGTAAACACTGACTGTCGAAGTGTTTATTTTCCAAAGAACAAAGGTCTGACATCATAACAGCAACAGCTAAATTAACTTTAAGGCAAGGGCCTTCTTTAACTATTTATGTGCTATTAGGCACTGAAAGGTAACAACAGGGAAAATCATGCCACCATACTTAAAAAGGTATCCTGGGGGTCCACATATACCTCATTCAGCAACCATTACCATTCAGATAGAACATAAACTATTTCATTACAGAGGCAGCAGCATCTGGAAGAAACAATTCTGATCTCCTTTAGCAGGACATGCAGCATTTTCACATAAAAAGATTTTAAAAATTAGTATACTTGCGGAGAGTAAATTTTAATACCTAGCTTATTTGTTGCATGTACTTAATACGATGTGTGTGTGTGTGTGTGTGTGGTGTCCAGATCTGAGATGTCATGGGGATAAGGAACTCACTTTAATGAATGCCTATTAGTAAGCGTTCTGCAATTTAAGAGTTTTTTGAGGGTTGCCTGGGATACCAAGAGGTCAAGTAACAAGCCCAGGGTCAAAACGTCCATATGGGTCAACAATTCAACTCAGTGCTTCCTGAATCTGAGGCTGTCTCTATATACCAAGCCCCACAGATTTTCTTAATGTACTTAATTAGGTAGAAATTCAAATGGAGATTCTTAACACCACTAAGTGTGATGCTTAAAAGTAAATGGAACCCACTACTACTCAAAGAGCTAAGTAGTTCATAGCCAAAACACTACAGGATGAGTATTTATGAGCTAGTCCCTTAAGAAATGTCAACTAGCATTCAGCAGGGCTGACAACTTCACAAAGGTATTTCAACGTTGTGTATGTTCACCATGGACACAAGACAAATGTTACATAAATGATCTATCAGGCCATTGTTGTACTGATATTTAAAATGTGATAGCGTTTGGATAGGGCACATCACCTCTATAGCAATGCAAATACCAAGTATGGAGTCAACCTAGTTTCAAATCCTGGATGTGCTGCCTACAACCTGTATGACCTTGGGAAAACCTTATTGGGCTCTCTATAAAATGAGGGAATTAGATGAGATAATCTCTAACATCTGTTTGAGCTTTAGAAATCTCCACTGTAATAGCCACATTAGGGATGCATTTTCCCCAACAACATTTTGTAGATGATAAAAGTGTGTAGTAGATGCTCATCTGACTTATTCATCTTATGGTATATTTGTCCTTTTTTTTTCTGGGAGGGGGGGCCCTAACTTGACAACGCTTTTCCCCTAGTCCCTTCTGAAATGAGGCATACCCTGTATAGATTTCGTATGGCTGCCAATGGTCAAGTCTGATGATGTCCTGGACAAACATTAAGGAAAAGGTAGTCTACTCTGAATAAAGTAACAGTACAAATAAGTCAAAATGATTATGGACCAAAAACAATGGCAACTCTTCCACCAGCAATACATGTGAGACTGAGGGTGCGTCCACTTTCTACCAAAGCTTGCTGGGAGAATGTCAGTCGGTGTGAAGGCTATGGAAACAGATATTAAAACAGGACACCAAAGAGTTTTTCCCTTCCCACTGGTTGTTTATTTTAATAGCATTTGCATCAGGAAATCAACCGAAACACTTCAACAACAGAAAGCTGGCACTGGGTTAAGAACGAGTGATTATATTTCCAACAGAAGTGACAGAATGGTTTCAAGTTGGAATAGTATTGCACAAATGAATCCATGGTGAGGGAGGGAGCAAGGGAGTGAGAAAGGGAGAGACAGAGGGGAGTGGACATCTTACAACATGGATTGTGAGGAAAAAAGGCACTATTTAGCTGTCTGTGTAGTTTTAAAATAAAAGTCATGAAGCACAATCCATGTTTCTCAAAGTTACATTCGACGCTCCCACACCTGACTCTCGCCACGAAAGGCAAGGTCCCAAAGAACCCGGGAGACAGCACTGATGCCTAAACAGCAGGTTTGTAATGGATGTGCTAGGAAGGCATCTTGACCAAGAGGACCTGTTTTCTAAACAGTGCTGTTAATGTCACCCAACTACACGAGCTCAGCACGTCCGATTATCTGTCTGCCGGGCTAGCCCAAGGCCCCACTTCAGCATCTCTCCAAGTCACTGGGCAGCAGTCATAAGCTCCACTCTGACGCAGCTAAGTTGGCAGTGCATTGGAAACAACAGGCCATTTCAGCAGACTGTGTGAGCTTACTGTAGTCAGCACCACACACACAAACCGTTTTTAATACCAGGGAAATCAATTAAAAAAAAAATTCTAGCTAAGTGCCCCAGCACTACTTAATGCAGAGAGAAACTTTTGTAACATAAAGACAGGGACATCTCAACCTCTCAAGGGTGAGCCTCATGAAATGGGCCTTTGAGAGGCTTCTCACAAGCTGTGGATTGGAGGCCCGCAGAATTTTCATTCTGAAAACAGCAAATGGGAGTCTAGCTGAGTCCTAGAAATTTCATTAATGGAAAGTTTGATTGAAAAGTTCAAATAACAGGAATCCATTTCAGGAATTACCTGTTAATTTAACTTCTTTCATGTCTAAAGATATTTTGCAAAAAAGAGGGAGAGAGCAACAGGAGAATATTACTGTCTATGGAACTAAGTTCTTTCTGATTATGCAAACAATGAGAAAATCATCTGCAGTGTAAAAATGTGGTTTGTCATGAAAAAACACTAACAAGCTTAGTGATTTTGTCAATGTCATTTATGGGACAAAAGCAATTATGAATTTCAAATGACAAGATTTAACTGAAAAAAAAATGAAAATAGAACAACTAAAATATATAAAGCTGATCCTTTGAAAACACTCTTTGATTTTTTTCATTAGATTAAATCTGATTACCAGGAATTCAGAGGCATCCAAAATTCTGCAACTTGTATTACTGCATACACAGGTGATATAAAAGGAATCCCTGTGCATTCTCTTTTATTCTTACTATCAGGTAAAGGGATATTTTACACATTAAAGCTAGGCAAAATCCATATGATCTTCCCCATTAGAGTTGAAAACAGTCACATAAATTTATTGACGGTGTCATTTTGGAGCAATTAGAAAATAGAAGTTAAAACAATCTGAACAAAGAGGTTATCTTTTCCTCTCCTAGGAAATAAACATATATATGTATATAGACATATATATACACACACATATACATATAACATATAACATTGTCTTTTAAAATGCAAAGTGGTTAATTCACTTTCATATATTAAAAAAAGTATTTCCCTATGGTCAAAAATACTGACAAAGAGCAGAGGCTGGAAAAAACCCACATTTGCCACTTTAAAAAAATACATTATTGTTTCAGCAGTTGAGGGTACTGAATTTATTACAAATCTCGGTCCCCTGCTTTGGAATCATAAGGAAATCTGCAGCATTTGCAGAAATGGGCTGGCTTGGACCATGAGATGTCACTGAGGCCACTTCCCCCAACTCCTGGCAGGACCATGCCAAAGTCACCCTGGACATATGAGGCCATAAATGCCACCACTTTGAAAACTGTGTATTAAATCAGGGAAAGGAAATAATTTACTTGGATGCAACCCAACCATCAAAATTTGTGAAATTGTGGCAGAAACCTTTTGGGTCCATCAGTTATCCTTTAGATGGAAGTCAGGGCCTTTTGAGAGTACATTAACTCTTTGAAGCCAATAGAGTACTAGTTCATAATGATGCTTCTAATGTCCTCAGGGCTACCATGGTTATATGAAAGAGCTGATTCACCCCTGCAAGTCTTCTGCTTGCCCTCCAGTCACATGCTGCCCATCTGAAGGTTGTGGTCTAGCATTTATGTAAACTTTGTGACAGATCTACCTTAGATCTGTTCCTGTTTAGAAATGAAGGGTTTTCTTGGGGGGGGGGCACTATTTTTCTGTCTGTTGCCAAGGAAACAATTTGTGTGCCACATCTCCTGCCAATAAATAAATGGAAAATGAGACCAGTCAAAAAACACCATGTACCCAGCAATGACTTTTCAGCATTCTGATGTGATTACATTTTTTAAGTGTTTCTTTTTAATACTCCTACCCCTCCTGCATTTTTCTTTCAAATGTCTTTGTAAGTTTTGTCCTGATCATAGTACCCATTTTTGACAGGTAAAAATATTCTTTAGGGCAACATTCAAAATGCTTTCATATGATGGAGTGAGGCATTCCTTGGCCATGTTTACTTAAAACATTTTATCAAAAGGCTCCTTTTCCAAGATGGGGGAGAGAGTAAATGGGGAATAGGGAAGTCAAACTCAGCAATACATATTTTAGAAATGGTAAATAGAAAAATATGCATTGATTATGACTGTACAACAAAACTGGGAAATCTTTCACATTCTGGATGACAAACTTTGTTTCATTCTCCCCTCCCCTCCCATGATCAGCTAACCATGTTTCTTTTAAACTGGGCACCTCCTGAATCCAAACAGCTGTTTGTGAATCTTAATAGGTTTAAAAGTCCACCAGTTGATTTCACATTTCAATAGCTGCCGAAACATGAAGTGCAGGACAATGTGAGAGGAATTCTATCCAACATGAATCAGGATCAAGTTCAGTGTATTTCTTCCAAACGGCTTACAGGTGGAATCTTCTCCCTCTTCCCCCCAAATAATGGAGGATGAATGGTGAAATATTTCATGTTATGAATGTTTTTTTTAAAAAATAACTTTTATAATGACTTATGGTTCCATAGTGTTTTACAAGTTCCAAAACGCTCTCACCAATTCTGTTGGATGCTCATGACAGCCCTATGAAGTAAGTAAGGGAAGGTATTATTGTCCACATCTTATGGATCAGAAAATGGAGGCTCATGACGTTTAAGTGACTTGCCTATGGTCACATGGTATTTTTGAAGCCAGGACCATAACCCATGTCTTCTGACTCTTGAGTCCAGGGCTCTTTCCACTATGACCTTCTGCTTCCACCTGGCCTGCCTGGTGCTTTCTGTATTAACATTCAAAATTGTTGAAGTGCATTTCAGTTATGTCCAACAGTTAGCTGACCCGAATGAGAAATAGAACAGCAGATGGGATGATTTCACTTGACATAACAAAATTGGTGCAAAACCACTTTAAACTAGTTACTTGTAGCCTTTTGGTCCAAATACATAAAATATGCAATATTTACAGCATTTGACTGCTTTGTAAATGCAATGCTTTAAAACACATTAAAAAGCACCTTAGTAAAAATATTCTACAGGTAAAAGTATAGAAGTAGTAGGAAAATCCCAACCATACCACAGCTCACCAATGGAGTTATAATATGGAACTGCCAATATATCCATTACAAATCATTTTGAGAGGAATAGATAATTAAGTCGCTTTTAACATCAATGTGTAAGTCTGAACTAAAACAACATCCTTCTTTGATGAGCTTTCCCAACCACGGTTGTTAAGGAGATGGAGGGAGGAGTAAGAAATACTGCTTTGATTCTCTGTTTACATTATTGGGTTTAATTCCTTCTTAACACTCACAATTGGACATTCTCTTTTTATTAAAACCTATATAAATATGGGCAAATCCAACAGCAGCAGCCACATTTCTCAGCAAACATTATTGGACATTCTAAGTTGACGTTATTCACAATAACAAAGTACGAGAGGCCAACCAGTCGTTAACACTATTCATTAAAGACCATATAGTCTAAATCTCCATGGGAAGGTGAGGGAGATAGATGGTTTCTTCTTTATGGATGTCTTGGGCAAAGACAACTGCTCTGAGAATCAAAAGCAGAGTACAGGATACTTTTCTGAAATTTTACCATCAACTCGAACTCTGCTGTGTATTAATTTTGGTAAACAAATGTGTAGTTTTCTTTAGACAGGAGGCTATTAGCCCAACCCAAAGGCTGGGCTGAAGAAAAGCTCTGAAGCTTAAGCTTCTTGGAAGGCTGGTATCTCCAGTCGTGGTCCACTTGCTTGTTTGATGTCCTTCACAGCCCAGACCTCAGCTCAATGGTAAATCATCTCACAGGCTTGCCAACAATCTGGATTCGAGAGTTGAGAACCCAGGAGGAGTGGTGGCCAAGCTTTCAGTCCATGGATCTAGTAGGAACGCGGTGCTCTTAGTTCGATTTGGGGTAGATCTTTTCATAGAAAAAGTTCTGTGAAAGGATGTACAAGTCCCCATCTTTTTCCCGAACAGCATGGGCTCGGATGAACTGGAATTGTTCCAGGGCAAATTCATAGAACTCGTTTTCCATCTTCCAGATGTCAGACTGTTGCAACTTTGCGATGGTTTGTTTGGTAGGGAGCTTCTTCTCTGTGGTTTTCCTAAGATGAGATTTCTTTCCTACTTGCAAAAGCAAACAACATTTTTAAAAAATTAACTTATTTTTCCGAGAGAAAATAGGTCTCCCCTCCCCTGCCCTCTGCCTCCAATCCACTTCCCTCATTTTTTCCTCCTAAAATCCCTAATTTCCTTCAAGCTCAACTCAACTACCATCTCTTACATGAGGTTGTTTGGTTTCCCTCTCCCCCAAATTACTCTATCTTTATTTTTTGTTCGTGTGTTTGTATGCATGTATGTAAAATATACACACTCCCTCTGACAGAGTCTATGTTCCATGAAGGTATTGACTATTTTATTTTTGTCTTGGTATCTGCAGTGCCTGGTAAAGTGCTTTGTACAGAACAAGTACTTAGTAAATGCTTATTGATTGATTGAAAAGACACAAAATGTCCTCATCCTTGGAGATTAAGAAATACTTTAAGAAGACAGAATAGATAACTAAAGGGCCTAGAATCACAGGTGTATTGCTGGAAGGACTAATTAATTAATGTCACACAGTGCAGAAAGAATCAAGAGAAGGTACTTACTGTATACCAGGGGCCTACAATCCTTTACTGATTTTTGCCTGAGCCAGAGAGGGTATATGAAGCCTTTTAAGCCACTCCACATGGTAACTTTGATAGATTTGAAATGTGAAAATTCCTACTATAAAAATGGAGGTATGAAAGAGGAGAAAAATAAATGGAGTCCTCCGGTATACAACAGGTATCATTTCTTGATTCTTTCTGCACTGTGTGACATAGCTCTTTGTTTTCAGCCCTCTCATGTATTGTCATGGAATCCAGTTATCTGTGTTGTGTTTTGTCCCCCTCCAGAACTGTACCCTCTAGGAGGAGAGAGACAATCTCTTTCCCTCAAGTATAGCAATCTGTATGCAGAAACGCTTAAAAAATATTTGTTGAATCAATCAAGTTGAATAGTTATGGTTTCACCATAACATTTGAGAATCTTCAGCAATACCAGTAAAATGAAATGTGAGGAAGACTTTTTTTTTTTTAAATAACCACTGAAATACCTGTCCGATAGAGTTCTGTGGCCCCCTTGAAGAAACGGGGCAGAGCTGCCTCCAGTAGCATGATAAAGTCTTCGAGCTCTTCAGTGACTCCCACTAAAAAGTATTCATTAATCAAATTATATTTGGCTTGATCCATGGCCCATCTGCTCCCCACATTCCTAAAACCAGAGAAAGGGAATTAGTGCATACTTGTGAAACCAGCCTGGTACTTCTGATACCCTGACATAGTAAGCCATGGAGAAGAGAACCCCTGGTATCATTAGCAGCATTGTAGAAGAAAATTCATTTCAAGGCACATCTGTATTTAATTCCTCTTACCTAACTTTCCCATCTTCCCATTCTGCCTCACCTGTGTCAATACTAAACCAGATGTCCAGGAAAGAACTCTTTAAGATATTTCCCAAAACTTGTGGATATTAGTAGATCAGTCAGTAAGGTTTAGGAATTTGTGTTTATTGCTTAAAGTAATTCAATTTCTAACGTCAGTTTTTCTACGATTTCCTAAGAAAGAAAGAGATCAGTGCCCATATAACTCAAAGTCACTGACTCTTTCAATACTTAGCAAGTGACCACGAGCAAAGATGGGCTGGGATAAAGGGATATATGGTTTGGCCCAAAGACCACAAATGAGGAGTGGTGTTCCTGCCATTAATTGGCCCTGGGTTCTCGGGAGAGTTGGCCTGATGCTTTATCCGTAAAGAAGGAGAGCTTTCTTCCAGCTCTAATACTCATGACTGAAAGCTACTACAGAACTCTGGCCTAGTTTTATTTGATAAAGCCGAGTGTATGAATATCCCACATTCTTCTAGGAAAACAGATAAAATTGGGAAGGTCTTACTCCCCACACCTTAACTGCACTTTTTTTTTTTTAATTATGATTCCTCTGTGCAGAACGCAGTGGATGACTTTAATTAGCAAAGCACATTTAATAGCATCTCACAGAGGACTGAGAAGAGCAGAGAGGGTTTTAACCAGAACTTCTGGCTTTTGTGATTTTAATTCTAAGTGGTTCTAAGAAAGATATTAACTGTGAATGTGTTACTATGGCTTCTTTTGTGTCCCATAACAATGAATCTCCAAATCTCAAATTCTAGCACACACTGAGTCTTTATTAGACACACTTATCTTGGGGAATCTCCATGTCCTTTTATTAGCCTCCTAAACTGCCATGAACAATAATGATTTTTGTTCGTCACAAATACTTTAACAGGAAAACCATGCAGACAGATAGGCATGCTGGGGTTGGTGACAGGAAGACAATTCAAATTTCACCTCTGACACTTAGCTGTGTGACTGTATGCAACAATAATAATAACTAACATTTATGTAGTGCCTACTATGTGCTACAGAACCATTACTCATCATGATTAGTATTGTCGCTGTTGTCCGACAGGCTTTGCAAGGGCTGAAACGTTAAGCCTTTGGAGGGTGAATATTGACTGGCCTCTAACCAGAGGTGCAAAACAGACATACAAACACATTCAAGCCAAGCTGTTTGGGGGGCACCGCAAGGCTTCTTTCAAGGGAAACGCCTTTAAAAGGCTGCTAAACAATCTATGACTCAGTCCCGTGTTCTCCTTCTCTTTCTGGGCTCCCCCTGGTTTCCCTATATTTGTAGCACATTTAGATCTGTTCATTGAGGATTTCTGAGAGCACAACACTGGTCAGCCGCTAACTGAAGCTAACACGATCATCATACCAGCATTCCGAGCTGTGGCCACAGAAGAACGGGATTTGAAGCCAGAGTTTTTCTGGAGCACAGTCTGAGCCTCCCTCGGCTACGCATTCGTCAAAAGTCTGTAAGAAAACAAGGGAGTGCCAATGAACCACAAATGTGAGGCCGGCCTGTCAAATATCTTAATGTGACTGACTACAGAATGAACTGGGGGGGGGGGGGGGGGAGAGACGAGGGAGGTAAGAAGGAAAAGCAAAGACTGACAAAGACACATGTGGCAAGGGATCCCATTCTTAAGAATTGACTATTCCTAAAAAATGTCTTGGGTAACAATTAGCCCTTGAAATTAAGGAACCGAGTGATACTATTTTGTATTTTCTGAGCTGTGATTTAGAAAGACAGAGTTGAAAACAAAGTTGCTGATGCATATCCATTTTCAAGACGACAGTACGGGATTATACTTTAGTCTCTTTATTTGTAAAAGTAGAGATGGAGACTAGATTGATCTCTAAACTCTTCTTCAGCTTGAATGTCATGCTTCTATGAACTCCACGTCTTTGCTTACATGGTTCCAAAGGACTGGCATGTTCTCATCCAATCAACCCCACCCAGACTTCATCTGTTGAAATTCTATTGATTAAGACTCAATCGGGGGCAGCTAGGTGGCGCAGTGGATAGAGCACCGGCCCTGAAGTCAGGAGGACCTGAGATCAAATCCGGCCTCAGACCAAACACTTGACACTTACTAGCTGTGTGACTCTGGGCAAGTCACTTAACCCCGATTGCCTTTAAAAAAAAAAAAAAGACTCAATCAAATGCTGCCTCTTCAGAGAAGCTTTCTTTTCATGTCTTCAGTTGAAAATGGTTGTCTTATTCCTCAGACCTCCTATAGATTTTTCAACAAATGACTATTTGACATATAGAAAGTACCAGGTCTCAAGTTATTTTTTGGTCCCTTCCTCCAGATGTGACTAGTCATTTCTTCCAGATGTTGTCCAAAGACACCTGTTCTTGGGCAGAATACAATGGAGTGTGTGTCACTTCTCCACGGTATCCCTAGCTACCCTTTTTTAGCACTAATTGTGCTTATTCTCACACCTCTGGACATATGGGTCCTGGAGGGGTGTGTGGGGGGGGAGGGGATTTACTGGGACGCCTTCTTGCAGCTCCCCAATGCCCCTCTGAACCTTCTCCTTTGCTGCCATCACTCAGTAACACCTCCTCCTTAAGCGTTTTGCTGCATTCAAAATGATCACTTAGTCCAAATCGTAATGGCAGTTACCTATGGAACCCCAACACATTCTCCTTCCTTTCTCAAGGAGTTCAGTAGCTGGCTCCCAGCCTTCCTATCTGGCCCAACCCCTGCCCTTAGAATTTGTGGACTTTACCATACTGCTGATGTCTCCTCAGCTCCCATGACCTACTCTTCCATTCTACACTATCCACACACTGGAAGGATCACACCCTTATCTCGCCATTAGTGACAAATATTCTACTTTAACAATCAAAACCATCAACGTCTCTTTATCAGATTATTTCATCTCTCCTTAAGCCATAACCCCTCATCAGTCTATTCTTTGCCCTCACTAGGACATCCAATCAACCAACAAGTATTTATTTGTTGCTGCTATGGGCCATACACCATGCTAGGTGCCAGAGATAGGAGTATTCCTTCTCAAATCCATCCTTCCTTTCGTACTCTCCCAAGCTATCACCTTTATTCTAACCTCACCTTCTCTCCCAGTTTCTGTTCTAGACCTTCTTCTATTATCTCTCCACATTCTTTCAGTCATAGATGTCACCAGCACTCTCACATTTCTATTCATTTCTCCTGAGCTCTAGTCACGTATATACAATTCCTTACTGAATATTTCAAGGTGGATGGATGCTTCAGAGATATCTCAAATTTTATATGTCCCAAATTGAATGCATTACCTTTCCTTCAAAACCCACCCCCTCTTAAACATCCCTATTTCTGACAAGAGTACCACTATCCTTGGCATTACTTTTGAGTATGCACTCTTCTTCATTCCACATATCCAACCAGTTGCCAAGTCAAGTCATTTATAAATTTTTCCAATCCATTCTTTTCTCTCTACTCATACGGCCACAAACCTGGTTCAGGCCTTTATCACCTCTCACCTGAATAACTGCAACATCTTCCTAATGGTTTCCCTACCTTTGATCTCTTTACTTTTGTTTTTTTTAATTTAAACAATTTATTTATTAAGTTTTAGTTCTCAACATTCACTTCCATAAGATTTTGAGTTTTAAATTTTCTCCCCCTCCCCAAGACAGCATGCAATCTGATACAGGCTCTACTTATACATTCATATTAAAAGCATATTTTCCCATTAGTCGTGATGTAAAGAAGAATTAGAACCAGTGGGAGGAACCACAAGAATGAAGCAATAAAACAAAACAACAAAAGAAAAGGAGAACAGATAGTCTGCTTCCACCTGCATTCAGGTTCCATAGTTCTTTCTCTGAATGTGGATAGCATTTTCCATCATGAGACTTTTGGAGATTTCTTAGTTGCACTGCTGAGAACAGCCAAGTCTATCAAAGTTAGTCATCGCATAGTGTGGCTGTTACTGTGTACAATGTTCTCCTGGTTCTGCTCACTTCACTCAGCATCAGACCATACAAGTCTTTCCAGGTTTTTCTGAAGTCAGTCTGTTCATCATTTCTTATAGCACAACAGCATTCCATTACATTCATATACCACAACTTGTTCAGTCATTGCCCAATTGATGGGCACCCCCTTAATTTCCAATTCTTGGCCATACAAAAAGAGCTGCTATGAATATTTTTGTACATGTGGGTTCACCTCTTTTCTTTCTAATATATAGTCCACTCTTCTGCCAAACTGATTCCTCTCAAGTACATCACTTTATTCAACAAACTCAAGTGGCTATAACTTCAAGGTTCAAATAAAAACTCCCTCTTTAAAGTCCTTCACAACCTAAATTCTCCAACCTTGTTAGACTTTTCCCATACTCTACAGCCTAGCCCGCCTTCTTCCTGCTTTTGCTCACATGTGCCATTGCAACCCTGTCTTTTTTGCCTCTGCACTGACTGCCCCTCATGCATGGAACAGTTCTCCATCCTAACCTCCATCTCTTGGAATATCTAGTTTCCTTCTAGTTCCTTCAAATACCATCTTCTACATGAAGCTTTTCTTGATTCTCCAAATGCTAATACCCTCCCCAAAATGCATCTTATGCATATTAGGCACATGCTTAATTACACAGATGCTCTCTTCCTGATAAAATAGAAGTTGTTCCGTTTTTGTTTTTGTACCTTCGGTGTCTAGCAAATAGTAGGCACGCTTAACCCATGACAGCTGACTAACTGCGCTGAACATTACTATTTTTTTCTTGGATGCCTTTATCACTCAGCTTACCCTTACCAGTAACTAGCAACAGAAAATTCTCTCCGAAGTAAGGGCTTGGTGCTACCATATCTACCCAAAGTGGCTCCTCCTCATTAGCTCCCCTCTTTTGTTAACAGAATCATCATATTAGTATCCCACTGCTACCGCTCTGGTTCCAGTTCTTCTTACTTCGTATGCCTGGAATACTAGAACTGCCTCTTAATTCCTTTCATCCTTTCTCCACACTGTAGCCGGATTCATTTTGCTAAACTAAGGCCTTTATAATATCACTCCCCTACTCAAAACTTTCAAAGACTTGTATTCATAGCTTTAGATAAACTTAGATTTCCAAGCCATCCACAACTGGCTTCCAACACATTTTTCCAATCCTATTCCTACAAACACTTCCCACTCTAGAAAGAATGGTCTGCTTAATAGCTCCCCAAACATGCAGTGGGCATTAGATTCTCTGTACCTCTGCTCACACCATCTCTTTCTCTACTACCTGTGAAGGGCAACAGAGATTGCACTGTCCTACGAGGGAGCCCTCCCTCTGCCCAATTTATCCTGCAGGGATCTCCCTTCTTTGCCCCTCCCCTCCAATTATTCATTATCTTTTATTATACTGCCTCCTGGAAGCTCTAGTATCATTGTCATTGATTGTTATTTAAACTGTGGACATAGTAAAAGCAAAATACAACCACTGACATAAGTATAAAATAAGGGTCTTTTCATGAGCAGCGATTATGGTCCTTTAAGGTATGTTTAAGGTCTAATAATGTATGAATCTATAAATTGAAGGAAGAACTCCAGAACACAGAGGGACGAAACAATAAGATTACCTCCTTAAGAATTTTATCAATGCCTCTTTTGAAATTGTCCTAAATTCTTTAAGTCTATATAAAAAGTAAAGAAATCCTAGCTTTTTTTTTTTTTTTAAGATGAAACAAACATTTTCATTAGAATCTGATTTATGTATTCTACCAGTTGGGTCTGACTTCAGCTGCAGGCCCTTTAAAAAGGGGTTTTATCATCCTCTATGTTGAGTCGTGTCTGATAAAATAAAAAACATATCTATCTATCTACATACCATGTTCCAATTTCCATGAAGTCTTTGGCCCACTGAACTGAGAAGTTGATAAACTTGAAGGTTTTTTTATTCCAGGCCTATCCAATTTTGGGCTCTGCTTCCTTTATCTGATTGGAGTCATATGGAATGTAATAAATAATAAAAAGCGATGGCAGGGGAACTCATCATCTCTACAACCTTCATTTTTTTGATTGATTCAAAGAAATTAAAAAGATTTCCCCCCAAACATAGGAAGGTAAACTATTAAAAGAGGCAAAAGCAATGAAGCTTTATGCCAAAGTTTTTATACTGTTAATTAAGATAAAGGTAATTTTGGAAATTAAAATATTTTCCGCTGGTGTCAAAGATGTCATCTATTGATAACTGGAAAAGTACAAATGATGGTTATTTGATTCACATTCTTAAAATAATCTATTTTCATGCTACTGAAATACTAGAGCAGATAAATAAAAACACGCAAATAATTTCCCAAATGATTTCTTTGACCAATAGTTCTAAACCTTTGAACCTACTAAATGTTAACTGGCTAAAACAGGGCAAAATGAGTTAGTCTGTTTGGTTTTTATTATTTTTTTTCTTGGTTCCTTATCATCTCTGGGGGGAGGGGACCTTCCTAACTTCCCTAGGAAATGTACGAAAGCCTTTCCTGACTCCCCCATTGTTAAGGCTCCCTTAATCTTGCATTTACTTACCTGAATACATGTTCTATTATTCGCATCCCCCATAGAATAGAAGTTCTTTGAGGACAGGAGCTGGGCATTTTTTTGTTTTTGTTTGTGCATGCTCAGTAACTAGTACAGTGTCTTGTACACAAATGGATGCTTATTAAATTTTCTGCTATTGGTTGGACAATGGCAGAGAGTGTAAATCAAAGTAAAACATTAATAATTAAGGGCCAATTGAGTGTGCTTGAATATGAATGAAAGATCATACTTATACAACCAGGTCTTGTCTATAATATATTCATAGTTGATGAATAAAATAAAACCAGTATATTCCATCTGAAACCAAATGAGTATACTACCATCTTTAACCACACAGAACTTGACTTGAACACTCATTAACCAAGATGACATGCACTGAATCTAATCTGAATATCTACCACTTTGGATACCTATTCTTCTCTGAACATACAACAAGAGCAAAATGCTACTCAAATGACTATCTACCCTAAATCATCTGTTTCCTCCAGGCTTCACAAAAAGATTAGTCAATTCAGAGAAAAAAATTTTTCTAAGTATATTTTTTCCCCTCTTGAAATGTGAAAAAAAAAAAAAAAAACCCAACAAAACAAAGATACTCTTTCCTCTTGTAGATCTATGGTAACCAGCTGACTCTACCAGGAAAAGAAAGGGCTAACATCAAAAAATGTGATCAGCTTTTTCAGCTAGTAAATCTGGCTCTTTTTTATAGAGAGAAATTCCATCTGAACAGTTTTTAAAGTTGTGCAAACCGTGATATTCAATAAATGGAAAGTACAACTGATAAGCAAGGAAATTTAAAAACTTTTGGCGTTTTGTGAGGTGAGGCCGTCTACTGTTTGTCAGGCGGGCAGTGAAAAGCCCTGGTGGGAGGATGTGAGCCAGCTGATTTGGGTGACGCTTAATAGGAACTGTTGGGAGATAGATAAAGGGGAGCTGAAGAGAACTCAGAGAATCATAAAGCACGCAGGAGATACCTACAAGCCAGAACAGGGATCAGATGCATAATAAGGGCACGTCTCTGCCTCAGGGACACAG